TTTCGATTGCACATGTGTGGGGTTGAATCGATATACAAATATTCAGTGAATAACCTCCCTCTCCCTCTCTCTCTCTCCATCGAACTATATTACTTTTTTAATACTTTCGACCTGTCCTACTCATCTTATTGTGGGATCGCATCCAAGTGAATGCAATCCAATGGCCAAACTGTGTGTTTTCTACGTTATTTAACTTATCAGAGTCAAACCTAATTGACCCCGATCTACTAGTAGTTTCACTTATGTAATTGATCCCACTCACAGCCATTACATGATATTTAGTAAATTATATTATATTATCATCGGCCTACTGCCGATGATTCCCAAACTAGGATGAAACAGCTGTCCAGTACTCCCTGGTTTCCAACGGTTCTCTAATTGATATCAGTCCGTGATCAACTCGTAAAAGGTTTTTGTATTTCCCAATGAGCGAATGAAAAACAAAACGATATTCCTGTTTTTACCGACGTTTCGCTATTTAATGCAGCTGCTAATGGCTTTATCAAAGTAGTAATATTAAACCAGAATTTACAAAATCCACTCAGCTTATTTATATACAACAAAGAGTTAAGAGGTGAGAAAATAGACAAGTTAGGTCAAGTTAAAAGGAGGACATATTGAAAGACAAAATAACAATAAAGATCACTAAACCAAATAACAAAGGTAGTAATAGTACATCTGTTATGGTATCAAAACAAAGTTTACTAACTTGATCCCCATACTGACGAACTATGATTCCATAACAGATGTACTATTAACTTTGTTATTTGGTTTAGTGATCTTCATTGTTATCTTGACTTTCAATATGTCCTCCTTTTAACTTGACCTTACTTGTCTATTTTCTCACCTCTTAACTCTTTGTTATATGTAAGCTGAGGAGGTTTTGTAAATTCTGGTTTAATAATACTTTGATAAATCTATTAGCATTAAAATAGCGAAATGTCCGTAAAAACAGCAAATATCGTTTTGTTTTTCATTCATTCATTGGGAAATACAAAAACTTTTATTATAATGAATATCATATATTTGAATAAGGCATTTAGAAGACAAATTTCGCGAGATGATATCGTCATTTCGTAGTTTCGTTACAACCGCTTTACAACTAACATAGTTAACAGTAATGAAATAAAGATCATGACAATTACTCAGTTAAATAAAAACACAAAAGTACATACTAATGTGTGCGTCGGTGACACAGTGGTTAGTAATCTTGCCGACCATGCACATGGTCAGGGGTTCGATCCCCTGCCGACGCATACCTGATATCCATGGTTGGCCTGCAAAATTTGGGCTACAGATATCACATGCTGAAAATTCCATACCTGTACCAAAAAGTACGGTGTGGAATCAAGCTGTAATCAAAAATTAGATTAAAATTAAATTTAAAAAAATCATATTTATATAGATCAGGTAGTCTATAGTAGGCGAAAGTTGAAGTCTATTGCTTTTGTACACACAGTTTAGGCTGTATGTGATCAATCCAAAGGGCTTCCATCACCTTCAGTAACCAACCTTGAATTAGAGTTGTGAAATAATAATTGTGAAGCAGTCATTAATAATATTGATTTTGTAACCTGACATTAATAAGTGTTTTGCAATGGATGATGATGCTGGATTTCTATTCCATTATTGAATGTATCACACAGTGAGTGAAACAGTATTATTATTTACTGGATGACAAAGTTTCGAACACAATTGATTATTGTTCATAATCATATCAATTGTAATCACATGACTTGGAAACTTGAGTTTTATAGTTTTCTTTGTTCTCTCCTATTCGTCGTCGTAGGGGTAGTAAAATTTTCCAGATATCTGGGTGGACAGGTGTTGAATCATTCCTATTACACGAGTTTGCAGTTGATTCGATAAACAAAGCTTCTGTTATCAATCTCTCCCTCCACTCTGTCACTTGAGATTTTAAAAGTGTCATCCTATCCCATCTTATTGTATGTTTGTTTGTAATTGCATGTAGTGAGTCCTATGGCAGTCATTACATGATTTCTTAATTGGATCTATCATCGGGTTCTTAGGCCTACAAAGTTTATTTCTGAAACAGTTGGTTGATTGGTTGGTTTAAATGTCACCCTAATTCCATTCCAACTCCATTGAGAATCCTACATAAGACCTCTGATGATGTTCTTCCCTTATACGGTGGTACTAATACACAGCAGGCTTTGAATTCCAAATTGGTTTCCTTCGTTATTTTCATTATTTCGATTTTTTCAATATGGAAAAAAAATCCCCATTTAGACATTTAGAAAACAGAAAGATTGAGCAAAGAAATATTTACTTTTCAATTAGATCCTCATCTCATTCTGGCTCTACTCTAATATACACTTATAGCATTTTTATTACAATACACAACAGTTTATCAATTATCAAGTGGCACTGATATGTTTGTTAACAATAATTAGTCAGTGTCAAAATATCAATGGGTTGATAATTAACGAAGAAAATCAATACACATTTAAAAGGTAGAAATGGTTAGAATAAATTAATTTTACAAGAATAACACGTAAATAAAGATTAAGTGGTTAGAAAAAATAATTTAGACAATTATAATTTTTATAATTTTAAAGGTTTAGGGGGAGTGGGGCGAAGTAGTCCGGTTTTACACATTCATGTAACGATGGCCAAGGCAAGGAAAGTGGCTGTACAAATTTCCTCTGAACACATAAGCTTGGCTTCTTTAGGTGAATTCCGAATGCTTCAGCTGTCTGTAGAAGACGAACTCGAAGAGCGAAATTAAGATTAGTCGGAATGCGATAAATAATTTTAAATGCAGTATTCACATCAACCTTATGCTCAGTATCAACAAGGTGTGCTAAAATAGAGCTACGAATAGATCTTGTTTGTCCCTTGCTTAACCATATTGGATGATGTTCAGAAATACGACGATGAAGCTGCCTAATTGTACCCCCAATCTAGCTGGCTCCGCAGCTGCAGTCAAACTGGTAGATACACATAGAAGCGGCAAATTTAGGTAGTTTATCCTTATTTCTCGAAAGTAGAATAGGAGTGGTTGTGAAGAGACAACGTACCTCTGTTACATAATAAGCTCTTTTAACTGCATTCTTCAGGCGCTGTGTTATGATTTCGCTGATGTTGTCACCGAGGAACTGCAGTTTTATGAACATTGGTGTTTTCGGAACTGTTGCTATACTGACTCTCCTAGGTGCTGAATTCATATTTTTCTCCATGAATTTATCTGGAAAACCATTTTTTCTAAGTAATTCTCTAATAATCTTAAGCTCCTCATTGAAGCAGTCATCTGAACAGATTAACCTGGCTCTATGAACCAGACACTTTACCAGGTTCCGTTTATATTTCAAAGGTACAAAACTCAAAAAATGAGTGTACTGACATGTTGTTGTAGGAGGTTTCCTATACACACTCCTTCTTAGTGTACCATCTTCTTTCCTTACCATGAAGACATCTAGGAATGGGATACTGTCACTACTTTCTTTCTCCATGGTAAAGTTTATTGCTGAATGTGCATCATTAAACTTGTTAAGGATGTTCATTGCATCATTCTCGTCTTTCATAACATCATAACATGAACTAGTTAGTCCCTATGATGCCTGTAGCATAGACGGTATTGAAATTGTAACCAAGTCAAGCATTAAATACCTTGGATTAGTTCTTTCCTCTGACCTTTCATGGTCATCCCACATCTTATTGATCTCTAAGAAAATGTTTCGTCTTACCTTCTACATTAAAAAGTTAAGACAATCAGGTATCAACCAACCTTCAGTTCTGCAATTTTTAAACTCCTGTATTTTACCTATTGTACTCGATTGTTCTCCATTAATCCTTCCTGGGCTTCTTAAAAAAGACTATGTCATATTGCGAAGGGTATTAAATGCTGTGAATAGGGCTTGTGGTTTGCCACTGCGTGAGCTCGCCAATACTATAGTCGAGAGACACGTAAATTCCTGTACAACGTGGGCAAAGGCCGTACTGTCAGACCCTCTGCACCCTCTTTATTCACAACTATCCCCTTGTATCTCATCAGGTAGAACGAGAAGTCAATATAAGAAGTTATATGCTCGAACTAAGTACAAAAATTCTACAATACTGTATTTAGCCCGTATTTTATGTGGTGGAGACACTGTTAGACGTGAAACATATAAGTTACTATGTAATTAGCATAGTGAATCGACCCTTTCATTGTTCATCTTTCTGTAATTTTATGGTGTCACCCTTTCTATCGTTTAATTAAAACTTTGCTATTTTTATTTTAGTTGTTATTACTATTATTACTATAATTTTATACTTTATGCGTATTTTTCTCCGTACTGCTTACAGTAATTTGCTAAATAGCTGCTATAAAAACGTTTTGTTATCATTATTATGTAATAATTATTTCTTGTATTTTTTTGTCGTTTTTGAGTAAATTAGATGCAATATTGTATTGAATGCTGAAAATTCCTTGCTGTATCATTAGTACTGTCTTTGGAATAAAGCAAATTATTATTATCATAACAAACACATCACCAATTGATTGGTAAACTTATAGGTTTCCAGGCCGTAGGTGTTACGAACTTCCTGAAATAATTTGAGCGCCGAGTCAGATTGATTAATTTAAATAATTTATAATGATTGGTAAACTGTTGTGTATTGTAATAAAAATGCTCTATGTGTGTATATTAGAGTAGAGCCAGAGTGAGATGAGGATCTAATTGAAAAGTAAATATTTCTTACCACTCAATCTTTCTGTTTTCAAAATTTCGATTATTAATTAAATGAAAAAGGATAAAATTCAGACGGAAGAAGGTATTATTCCTCCCTCCCTCCCTCGATCACACTCTCCCTCTGCTTCTCTCTCGTCGAGGAGACAAGGAATCAACAAACGAATGACCGAGAGAGTGAGTGAGTGAGCATGGGAGTGAATACATTACACTGATAACGAAAAAAGTACAATAAAGTAGAATAAAACAAAACAACTAGACAAACAATAACAGAATTTGTATTTTTTCCTTTCTTTTCCTTTTCATCAGACTGATTGACATTTTATCAACTAATCAATCAATCGATCAATCAATCAAGCAATCAATCAATGAATCGGCTTATCAATCAATCAATCAAAGTAATGAATCATTTTGATATGTCTGTTTTTCTCATTTTATCTAGTCTACTACTTTGACAACATTTCACCCATCCTATGTCGTCTCCACTGTATTCATTTTTTTCGAATGTACTCTATTTTCCGTGAGAAGTCGTGACCAGTGAGATCCATCCAGTCAAGTGTGTGGATGGATGTCCCACCGATGATATTGGTTGGTGCCAGTAGTGGTAAATGCATCATGAACTGGTAGAAGTTTGAATTTATGGGTTAGCCATTGAGGAGTCGGGTCCTACAGTGGCTAAATGGTATACGAGCTAGCTTAACTTGTAACCGGAAGCTTCTCGGTTCGAACCTTGGTGGTGGGTGCTTACTGTCGATGATTCCCAATCAAATGGGATGAAACAGCTGGCTGTCCAGTACTTCGGTACTAGTTTTCAATGGTTCTCTAACTGATATCAATCCATGGTCAAACCCGTAAAAAGAAATCTAATCCTTAAAAACCAACTATTGAATATTTAATTGAATTTTAGATTTTCCCGTCGATTGATTGAACCGAAGTGCTCGGTTTCAGGTTGACATGTCGGCGGCTTCTTGTCCAGATGCTTCGACAATGTCTGGGCATGGAATCAGAAGTTAATTGGTGGATGGTGAATATCAGTGGAATCAAGGATTCGCATTTCGTCTCATTTGGGACTCGTCATCTGGAGGTACCTGCATTCCGCCATGTGTGATGATGTTCCCACGGAGGCTCGAACCCAGTGATACATGCCCAGACATCGTCGAAGCATCTGCACAAGAAGCTGACATGTCAATCTGAGACCGAGCACTTCGGTCCAATCAATCGAAGGGAAAATTTAAAATTCAATTCGGTTGGTCGGTCGGTTATCAACATAGAACTTTGCACATATGTGCGCCAGTTCAAGTCGCCACACTCCCTCCTTGTAGGACACAAAGCAAGAGAAGAAAGGAGGAGAAATGCAAATACAGAGAGTAAACAGAGGTGTGAGACAAAGGAATAGTAATAACGGAGAACAAAACAGTTTCATTGGAAATCATAAGTCACAAGGAGTGGATGCATCTGCGCCAGTGAGAACGATTCTGAGCAATGTCACCAATTGTTTCCGACCATTGGTGTTTACCGTTCCGAGGACCCCAACCAGTCAGGAAGTCTACACCCTTCTACATGGCTGGCTTAGACTAACTGTTGTAGATTTCATTGACTGGTGCCATGTTTTCGTTTGACCGCCGCTAGCTCTTTTCCAGCCTGACCCTATGTCAGCTAACATAGCCCATTGTCGAGGAAGGCGATGACTAGGCATACGTAACACATGTCCTAACCATCTCAGTCGTTGTAATTTCTCAGTCTCGTCGACTGATTTCCCCGCCTTACCTAGCACTCGACCGAAGCCTAACCTCAATATTGCTCACCTCATTATACCACTTCACGCGGGAGATAGAACAAAATTCAATTAAATAGTTAATATGACCCGTTGCACACGAGGCAGTGGCTCTTGTCGCCCAAGTGGTCTAATGGATAACACTTTAGCGTTTGAAACTATGGACACTGGGTTCGAGCCTCGATGGGAACATCATCAATGACTCACTGACTGGGGAATGCAGGTACATCCAGTTAGCTGACGACTCCCAAAAATAGGACGAAATGCGCATCCTGACCGGATTCCACTGCTAGTCACCATCCACCTATTAATGACCAGAACAAGCAGGAAACACATGAAACTTCCTCTTTACCTCTCTCTGTGTATTCATTACATAATTATACATGCAAAAACAAAAAAATAGAAACAGGGTAAACTATACATTTGGGGTTTTTCCTTCACATTTTGTGAAAACTGATTTCCGTTTCCCTGCTACCTTTTTTCAAAAATTCTTTATTATTTGTTAGACCTAACCTACCTGTATCTACCTGGGGGACACAAGCACACACACGAACACACATCGTGGTCATAATTGTCAGGATGACAGTTCTAGCATAAAATTCTATAGGAAATGTGTATTGACAGAGTGATTTATGCTGCCTGATTAGCTTAGCTTAGCTTAGCTCAGCTTCATTTAATTTAATTTACTGATATATGTGTATACATCTTTTTTGGTTTAATTAACAATAGTTCTAGTAATTAGTAGTAGTAGTAGTAGTATAGAAGCAGTACTACAACAGAAGGAAGGCAATGAACACGAAGGAGACTGGATTGGGCCAGATTCCTTCCACCCTAATATAATATAATATAATACTGTATTATATATACAAATATAGGAATTGTCAACGTTAATTCTAAAGCAGACATGTTTATTATCTATCCACCCCCCGCCTTCCTCATCTCTTCAACGGCTACTTATTATGGTTTTTAGTGTATCTGACCCCCTGCATCTCCATCCCCACTACCAAACTAACCAATTTTAATCATATATCATAATAAAGATTCACTATTGTAATTTATGTATTCCATAGGGATTGTTTCTCCTATCGTTTTTCCACTGATGTATATCACATACACAGTTGGGCAGACTTATTGTTGTTGATGTCATTGTTTGGGGTGGATGGGGTGGCTGGATGGATGTTTGCTACTGATGATTATGAGATGACAGTTTGCTGATGACTTCCAGACGTCATCGTTATTACCTTGGTTATTGTTAATGAGGTCAATGTTTAACTGTCTTGGTTAGCGTGGGGGTGGGGACAGTTAAGCCGATAGAGTGTAAAGTGAAAGATAGAGGGAAGTGGAGAGTGAGCGAGAGAGCGAGCCGGCCAGCCAGGGAGTGAGTGACAGAGAAGCCTGTGTAGGATGATTCAGGCTAAAAGGGAGTGGTAAACACAGCAACACGTCCACACATACACACGCTTTGATGTTTATTATGTAGGGTACTGTCTACGGAGAGAAAGTTTCAACCGTATTTCCAAAAAGACATAGACAATGCGGACAAAGAATTGTCATCGAAAACAGAGAGAAAACCATAAATAATTTATGATTACCAGAAACTACTAATGATTCTTATTTAATGTGTTTTGAAGTTTTGACCACGGAGTGATGTCAATTAGACAACCAGGCAGAAGTAGATAGTTGTTTTGTCGCACTAGCTTGGGACTCATCATCAGTACGCACCCACCTGGAGCTCGAACCGAGGACGTGTTCTAGTTAAAAGGTGAGCTCATAGATTAATCAGCTACTGGGACCCAACTCAATGGTCAGCCAATGAATTCTAACCTCTAACGATTTGTGATTTTAGTGTGAATTGCATGAGTGAATGTCATTGGCGGCAAGTGGATGGATAGTCTATAAAACTTGCCTCGCAACCGGAAGGTCCTGGATGGGTGCGTGCTCATGATGAGTCCCAAACTAGTGGGACGAAACAGCTGGCTCTCCAATATTCTCTGATGGTTTTCTATCGTTATCTAACTGATATTAATCCATGGAGAAACTTGAGAGACACATGAAATGTCTACGAACTACCTCTTGGATATATTATTTATTATTATTATTGTTTCCTTTAATTCCTAGAGGAACATAGGGCTTCAGCCGTGCGTCTCCATTACGTTCGGTTCTCTGCTAGAGTCTTCACCTGGCTCCAAGTCTGCCCACACGTTTTCATCTCCTCTTCACATCACCTCCTCCAAGTCACCCACCCTCGCACTGACGACCAACTCGCCGCTTCCCTTTCGGGTTCCACTCGAGCAATGGTTTGTCTAGTGATGTCACTTGATTCATTGTTTCCTCAGAATATGGCCAGCCAATCCATCTCCATTTCTTCCTGCCTATTTGTTTAACAATCGGTTCCTGCTGTGTTGTTTCGATCCCAGAGACCCCTCCCTGGTTCTGATCCTTTCTGGCCATCTGATCTTGAGTACTGAGCGAAGACAACTGTTAATGAATGTCTGTAGTTTGTTTGAGATGCTCTTTATGACGCGCAGTGAAAGTCTCTGATCCGTATAGTAAGTAGCACTGATTTCACATTGGAGTTGAAAATCCGGATCTTATTTTTGATGCTGAGTTCTGTTGACCTCCACACAGACTTGAGAGAAATGAAAGCTTGACTTGCTTTCCCGATCCTCGCTTTGATATCCTCGTCAGTTCTGTCCGCCTGTAGTTGAAACGATGCTTCCCAGGTAGGTAAAGGAGATTGTTTCTTTCAGGTTCCTCCCATTTATGCTGATCGTTGTCTGTTGTTGTTGTTGCTGTGGCTGTTGGTGTTGCCCAGGAATCTTCATCACCACATCTGTTTTCTCTATGTTCACCTGAAGTCCTATCTTCTCTGGATGCTTCTTCTGCCAACTTGTTGCTTTTCGCTTGCATATATATATATTATACTTGTAAATGTGAATAACGAAAATAAGAAACAATACTATACTACTTATACCTCTCTTACTTCAGTAGTGCCTATTATTTAACGAAATGATATTGATACATGTGGGCTTGTTTGTTTCTTTGTTTGTGTTTGCGTGTGTGTGTGTGTAAGCGAGTGAGTGATCTGAACAATAATCAATGACAGGTGCACCAGATGTGAGATTGATTCATTTTTCTTAAAAGACACCCTGAAGTCTTTTGAATTAATTAGAGAATCGATGAAAGCCACTGAAAACTGAAATACTGTTTCCTTTCAGTGTGTGTGCGATTGTGAATGTTTAGCGATAGGTGTTGTATATAATGAACTAAAAGGCATCCGAACTCTATAACGACCAAAACCGGAGTACTGGGGTTTGAACAAAGGGAACCGATCTTTGCATCCTAATTTATAGCTGAACACAAAACGTTTTTAAAGTTACTCACAGTCGGAAAATTCCCTTTCGAAACAGCAAAAAATAACAGTTATTTGCAGTAAAACCTGTGGTTCTACGCAACAATCGTAATATATCAAGACGCAAAATTACCTCAAAATTGACGCTTCCATCTCAGCAAGGAGTTCGAAGTGGAAATAGGAGTAAGACAAGGTTGCTAGCATATTATCTCCTACGATTTCATTCTTAATTGTGGTGCACTAGATTATGCGCCAGACTGTTAGTCGGGATT